AATACCTACCTATAGGTGGAAATAGTCCAATATGTTTTATTTCTGTATTGAGCATTGGAATAAAGAGGGCTATTCTGGGAAGAGAAAGGAACTTTTCTAACAGTTTGGGAACTGATGGGAACTGGAAGATTCCTTCCATTTCACCAGTGACTGAAAATATGTGGATGTTGACCACATGACATGGAAAGGAACTATTGATTCAGTGGTAGCATTTTATTATTTCATGATAAATGGTTGGAGGCAAAGATCCTTCTAGTAGGCATATAGATGATTAATTTTAGAGAATTAGAATAATCAGTATTCTCTTAATTGAATCTCAAACCCAATATCTACTTAGTTCTTAAGGGGGACGGGAGGAATAAGAATGGGATAGAAGGGTATGTGTTGTCATGAATCAGACAGATAGATTTTGATGATCTTGTACTTAACAGTTTAAAACAGTTGAGGGGGCAATATTATAATGTAAAGTGCTCATGCCAGGATTTTCCAGGAGTTATTATCTTTTTTAAAAATGAATTATATCTTGACTTTGTTAAATTTAAATATTCTTTCCCATTTCAGAATGTCAGGAAACAATATCATTCTGTTTCAGCAACTGTGAGGGACACGAAAAAGTTTTTTGGCCAAAAGTTGTCTACTCATAATAATTGGAAAGGGAGGGCATGTCCACCAACCTAATTTAGTTTGGTAGAAAGATGTTTCAGAGAATATTATAGAAATAACATTTTCCTGGCAAAGTACTTCATTGATATTAAGATGGTTTCTCTGTCTCCTAAATACCATGAAGATTTCTTGGAACTTATAGCTAATGCATCTCTTTTAAAGGTATTTGGTTATCGATAGTTGGTTATGTTTTCTTATGCCTCGTTATTCTGGGCTCCAGAAAAATAATAACTTTGATCAGTGATTTTAAAGTTCAGTGTAAAGCTACTCAGCCTGTAGTTTGAGCTTTGTGTGGGATCCATATTACTGAATTATGATTTTAATATAACACAGGGGTTTTTAACCTTGGATCAGATAGATTTCAGAGGGTCCACAAATTTGGATGGACAAAAATTTTATCTTCACTAATTTCTTGGAAGAGACCCATAAATTTCTGGAAGGACCCATGGCACTAAAAGATTAAGCACCTCTGATGTAACAGGAGGAGATAGTAAATAGAAGCAAATTTATTAAATGTTTGTTTTGGCTCCATTTGCTTTTGGGAAAGTGACTACCTGAATCCTAGTCAAGGGTCAGGTGATTGTATACCAGTCTTTTAGAGCAAACTGATTGACTGCCTATTTTTAATATCACCTCATTTAAATCATAAATAATGATATATATTTGTAAGTATTTCTCTCTAGTAATTTTTAAGAATTTATTTGTAAGTCTTGTTTACAAGACTATTTTTTAATTTTCAAACTTGGGCATTTGAAAAAAGTAGTTTGTTGAGTTATACTCTTCAACGTATTTTGGGATTGTAATTCTTGTAATTCTTGTAATAATGACTATGAATGTTGGAAGCTATAATTTCAGCATGTCTGGAGGATACTTAATTGGGCAAGAATGTTGTATTGAGTTTTTTTTCTTTACAAATCACTTTTCCCCCTCTAAATTCCTCTTTTGGTCTTAGCTCATGGAAAGAACAACACAAATATTTATTGTGATAAAGCATCCACCATTCTTTGCTGAGTACTTTTAGACAGATTTGATGTCTCTCTTGATGTTTAGCAGATATCACATGGGGTTCTGAGAAAGCTGTTGCAAAACATATTTGAAAAATGGGATTTTTAAGAGCTTTCTGGACACTGAATCTTTGTACAGCAGTGTTAATGCAATTATAAAAATGCTGTGATAAAAAAAAGGGGGGGACAGGAAAAAAAGGGGGGGAAGAATAATTCTTATTCACATACAGCTAGTTCAGTTCTTTAAAACAGTGGTCCCCAGCCTTTTGGGCACCAGGAACTGGTTCCGTGGAGGGAGATTTTTCCGTGGACCAGAGGGGACGTGGTTTCAGGTGCTGCCTGCATTCCACAGATAGGACTTTGCTTGTTTGTGCAGCTCGATTTCTGGCATGCTGCGGCCCGGTGCTGGTCCACCGGGCCTGAGGATTGGGGATCCCTGATTTAAAATATTAGTAAATCTAGACTATAAAGAAACATATTCCTCTATTTTCCCATCTTTAGAACATAAAAACATTTCAGAAACTGACAAGTACACTTATTTTTGACACACTCTTTAATATCAAAAGTGTACATTTTTCCATCTACATAACAAATTCTTTTAGACTGTATAAAACAAGAGCTTGCCTTAAAATCTCAAATTTCTGAGTTGATCGATAAAGTTTCCTAAGTGCCACCTATTTCTTTGCTTTGATGGGCAAGTGTTGAAACTTAACACATTCCTCTACTATTAGACTTCCCTGGATCTCTGAGAATCTTCATTGACCTGCTTGAAATAGTTTCATTGGTCTTGTGGATTTGACAGGTATCTGTAGTGTCATGGATGAGTCACACTTCCTCCATTACACACCTGTTCTTGCTACATTTCTGCTGTGATGTGGTATCTGATAAAGAATCATGCCTGTTTGTCTCTGGTTATGTAACTGCACAAGTTTGGATGGCAACTATTGTACTGCTGTATTAAGACTAAATTTGTCTAGCTACCTATAATTACAGGCATGCAATTACTTCCTAATTCCATGCAAGTACTAGAAATGTAGGATGGAATCTTGAAAATTCTTGTTTCCATTTACAAGATGGCAAAATTTGGATTCATTGTTCTCTTCTTTTCAACACCATAATCAATTCAGTGCTTGGGTAGCTTGGTTCCTGGGATTTCTGCAGCTAGCTGAAGTCATACAGTTCCACAAATTCTATAGAGAGTGTGTGAAGTGTGATAGTCAGAAGTACACAAAACTAAAATCATCTTGGTCTTCAATACTTCTGGCCTTGTAGGTATGCCATTAACTTTTATTTTTAAGAGCGAGGGTACTCTTCTGCACATTTGGTCCATGAATAAACAAGATCAATAAGAGAAATTAGAATAGGAATTCTAAAAGGAGGATCTGTCAGTCAGTGATCTGTAACAGCAAATAGCTTTGGAACTCCCATGAGGTTGGAAAGTAGTAGTAGGAAAGACAAGATTTCTAGCTTCTAGAATACTATAACATAAAACTTGCAGAATGGATGGGAGATATATGCGTTCTCATTCTCTCTCTCTCTCTTCCCCTCCCTCCCTCCCTCGCTCCCTCCCTGTGTGTGTGTGTGTGTGTAAAACAGCTTCTGAACAGCTATATAAATGATAAGGTTTGAGAAGTATTTGGAGCAGGATCTGGACATGTTGCTCAGTTTTAATTCTGAGAAGGAAGGACAGATCTTCTTCAGCCAAAGTAAGGCATATAGCATATTCTTAACAACCCGAGAATGTTCCTTCAGTGGTATTAGATCTTTAAGGCAGATGAAGATACAAAATACAATTGGTGGAAGAGGGTGCTAGAGGAAAAAAAGCCCCTCCTGTTTGTAACACATAAGATTTCAGACCTGAAGTGATGTTCTACTCCTCCTACATAATTTTGATTATCAAAATTTATTTCAAAGAGCATTGGAAATTGTAATGTCATAAAAGTGTGAATGCTGTGAAGAGTTGTGGCCCCTTCAGAACTGTATGCTTGTGAGAATGCCTTACAGTACTTGGAAACCATGGATATTGAAAAATCTCAAGTATCTTAAATGTATAGCAAAAATGTAAGGAAAGTGATATTTGTGAGAAAGCTTTTCTTCAGTGGAATGAGAGAATTTTATATATTAAAAGCAGATAAGTAACTGCCTTATTTTTATAATAGCTTGTATCATCGAGAACTGTAAGCATAGTTCTGTTGTCATCTGGTGGTATTGCAAGCTTCCTTCCATTTAGACTTCTGATTCTATGAGTGTTGTATAAAAACAAAGGAGGAGTATAGGTGGGCAGTCTAAAATAAGTTGTGAATGTTAGTATAGTTAAGAAATACACTATACAGTGCAAACCTGTTTATTCTTAACTTTTCATAAAGTTTCATCTTACTCTGTCAATTAACGTGGAACTAAACTTCCCTAAAATATTTTCTCTGGGGCTTTGGATTTGTCAATTGAAAATTATTTATTTATTTATTTTGTCAGTTGAAATTATTTTATTGTATTCTTTTGTATTCTTTATTAAATACTTCTCCCAATGTATTAGAATTTTAACTCCAAGAATTTTCAATTGTCGTGACTTTTAATTAACATATTGAAAGTAATGTAATGCTGTTAGTTCAGCAAGTGCTTGCAATAATTTCAATTTTCTTATTTCTTTTTGTTACTTTCAACTTTTATTTGTTATTTTAATTATTTTGAATGGATGTATTATGTTATAAAGTTAATATATAATCATTAAATTTATAAATGAGTTAATATGAAAACAGTATAAAATGAGTTAATATATAAATTAATTTCAGCTCTCAAAATGTGCAAGCAATATAACTCCCAGGACTTCTAGTCAATAGTGCCCATCATCTATTTGGAAGATACTGAATTAGGAACTGTAATAAATGCAGGTAATGTTCCAGTAGAAGCAGTGCACAATATAAGTAATCCTCGACTTACAAAAGTTCATTTAGTGACCATTCAAAATTACAACCACACTAAAAAGGTGACTTACGATGATTTGCACGCTTATGACCATTGCAACAGCTCCATGATCATGTGATCAAAATTCAGCCACTTGGCAATTGACTCATATTTATGATAGTTGCAATGTCCCAGGTCATGTGATCATCGTTTGCAACCTTTTGACAAGCAAAGTCAATGGGAAAGCCAGATTTACATAGTAACTGTTGCAAGAAAAACGGAGCAAAACTCACTTAACAAATGTCTCACTTAACAACAGAAATTTTGGGCTTAATTGTGTTCATAAATCAAGAACTACCTGTATATTTTAATGCAGTCGTCTTCTGTTGCATCTGTCCTCTAATCATTGTCTTTTTCCTTCCAACATTGCAGGTTTATGAGTGATCAAACATTCTTTTTACACTAAGCCAGAAGGGAGTGGAGCAAAGATGCCAATACCGCCACCTCCTCCACCTGGACCTCCTCCACCTCCAACTTTCAATCAGGTAGTCCTTCTGCTTCTATATATTGTTTTGTCTCTGGTATAGATTAACCACAAAGAATCTTTACTTCTATTGATTACATCAGCTTGTGTATCTTCCAAATATGCAGATTTCTGGCTCCAGTCCCAGTCAGTATGGCTTTGGCTTAGAATTTTGAGAATGGGAATTCATACATTTGGAGAGTGCTTCAGTTGTTGCTAAAGGAATATAAAAAGGGAATCCAAACCCTGAGAGTCAGGTCCAGTTTCTGTCCTACATCACTATGCTCAGGTAGCATAACTAGGAAAAACCTATTCCTAAAATTTATATATGTTAAGTAGATAACACCAAGTTACATAAAAATATAAGGCACTTTCATATACAGTGCATTCAGAAAGTATTCAAACCCCCTTCACTTTTGTCAATTTTGTTACTCTAGCCTGATTCTACAGTTGTTGAAATTCATTTTTTCTCATTAATCTACACTCAGGACCCCATAATGACAAAGTGAAAACAATTTTAGAAACGTCTGTAAATTTATTAAAAAGGAAAAACTGAAATATCACATTGGCATAAGCATTTAGATCCTTTGCACCAACACTTGAAATTTAGCTTAGGTGCCCCCTATTTCTCTTGGTAGTTGCTGACATGTTTCTACACCTTGATTGGAGTGCACCTGGGATAAGTTGTTTGGACATGACTTGGAAAGGCACACACCTCTCTATAGAAGACCTCACAGCTGAAAATGCATACTGTAGCAGAGTAAAAACCATGAGGTCAAAGGAACTGCCTGCAGAGCTCAGAGACAAGATTATTGCAAGGCACAGATCTGGGGAAGGCTGCAATAAAATTTCTGCTGCACTGAAGGTTCTTAAGAGCACAGTAGCCTCCATAATTCTCAAATGGAAGAAGTTTGGCACAATCAGGACTCTTCCAAGGTCTCGTCGCCTGGTCAAACTGAGCAATTGGGGGAGAAGGGCCTTAGTAAGAGAGGTGACCAAGATCTCGATGGTCACTCTGAGCTCCAAAGATCCTGTGTGGAGATGGGGCAGAATTCCAGAAGGACAACCCTCACTGCAGACCTCCACCGATCTGGGTTTAAGGCAGAGTGGCTAGACTGAAATCTCTCCTCAGTGCAAAATGCATGAAAGTCCACTTGGAGTTTGTAAAAAAAGAACCGGAAGGATTCTCAGATTTTTGAGGAACAAGATTCACTGGTCTGTTGAAACCAAGATTAAATTGTTTGGCCTCAATTCTAAATGTTATGTCTGGAAGAAATCAGGCACTGCTCATCACCTGCCCAATATTATCCCAGCAGTGAAGCATGGGGATGGCAGCATCATGCTGTGGCAGTGTTTCTCAGCAGCAGGGACTGGGAAACTGGACAGGATTGAGGGAAAACTGAATGGAGCAAAGTACAGGGATATCATCAATGAACACCTGTTCCACAGCCCTCAGGATCTCAGACTGGGCCGAAGATTCACTTTCCAACAGACAGTGATCCTAAACACACAGCCAAGACAACACAGGAATAGTTTAGGGACAACTTTGTGAATGTCCTAAAGTGGCCTAGCCAGAGTCCTGACTTGAACTCTATTGAACATCGCTGGACAGACCTGAAAATGGTTGTCCACTGACTGTTGCCATCCAACCAGTCCAGGTATGCAAAGCTTGTTGCATCATACTCCAAAAGACTTGAGGCTGTAATTGCTGCCAAAGGTGCTTCAAGAAAGTACTGAATGAGGAGTTTGAATACTTATGCCAATGTGATATTTTAGTTTTTTTCTTTTTAATAAATGTACGGACATTTCTAAAATTCTATTTTCATTTTATCAATATGGAGTATTGAGTATAGATTAATGAGAAAAAATCAATTTCATTAACTGTAGAATCAGGCTGCAGCATAACAAAATTGACAAAAGTGAAGGGGGTCTGAATACTTTTTGAATGCACTGTATGTATGAAGACCACAATTATATACCTTTTATATTGATCCTTCAGGATGTATCCTATTACTGCTCTAGTTCACATGTTTTAAAGAAGTAGGGCTGGATGGATCCTGAGAGATGACATTAAATATATTAGGTGCTCATAGATTGACCACCAAGAGTGATTTGATTGCAATGCTGCAGATACACACAAATGGACCAAAGAATGAAATATTTATTGTAGGTTGATGGATAAAAATAATGGAAAGAGTAGGAGTTGCAGATGAGGTGAAAGTGGTTCTTTGAAAGCCTTTTCTAAGCCACAATAAGAAATTTTTAGCTGTAGAAGTACAAGCCTCCTGGCTATAGAATTGTGCAAAAGTGTGCAGTTCATTACATGCAGCCTTTTTTTTTTAGGTGGTATGAATGAACGATTTTTGTGATCTTCACAAAAGATCGCAGGCTGCCAAGGGATAAGAAATCTTTTTTCATTTTTTTTTTGGTGCAATATTTCCTTTCAGGCAAACACAGAAGCACCAAAATTGAGCAGAGATGAGCAGCGAGGGAGAAATGCTCTGCTACAAGACATTTGTAAAGGGGCCCAATTGAAAAAAGTGGCTCAAGTTAATGATCGCAGTGCGCCTATCCTTGAAAGTAAGTAGGTGAATGAAGCAACTGTGAGAAGATTTTTGTCGTCAAGTTAAAGGAAAGGTGTTGCATTATCCCCAGTCATCCCTTTCTTTTGGGAATAATCTGTAGCTCTTTAGACATGGGTGTCTAAAGGATGGGTTCATATATTTCTATTTGTGCTTTGCCTGTGCTATGAACCCAGAAATTGGAATTTATTCAACAAATTATAATTAGACAGAGCAACATTTCCCATAATGTGTGAATCAGGTCAGCAATGCAGACAGAATTTGGGAATTAATGTTTAAAATAATTGAATTCCAGCCACTTGAGAGCATTGTCCAGAAATTAAATAAAGGCAATTAGCTGAGGACTTGTTTCCAGTAAAATTATCCTTGGATCAGCCTATGAGATGGATTGTTCTTAGTCCAGTACCGTAAATAATTATTTAAGTCACTAAGATACAATCTGTTGCCCTCTCGCCGTACTTCTGACCACAAATTACTTTGTTTTCTTCTGGTTATTTCTTGTTACATAGTGTCCAAATTGATTCTGCTGTTATTGTATGCTTATCTTGATCGTTTCGAATTTAATTGTTCTAATTTAGGAAGGAGGGAAGAAAAGAGTTTGTGGAGTTTGAACTGTTATAGTTTAACCATTGGAATTTCTACTCAGCACCACTGTGTTTCCTATACCTATTGTGTATACTAAAAGTTATTTTAGACTTTCCAAAGGGAACTTTCGATGCTGGGCAAACTAAGTCCAGCTCTGCACAATAGTAAAGAATGTAAACTGCCTGAAGTCTTTAGGTTAATATTAAAATATCGATAAAGTCCAACCATTTACACATTAGTAGTAAATATTAGAAACAAATGTTTCTGAATTTTGCATTTTAAATTGAAGAATAAAGAGAACATATCTTTAAAGCATTCTAGGGGAAAATATATTAAACTTTGGACATTTGAATAGCAATCTCAAATACCATTAGTTGCAGGTAGGCCTAGCAGTTATGGGGTTTGCTTGCAATAGCTGTAATTAATAAACTTTTTATGTTACAAAATCTGACAAGTTAAATAACATGGAAGCCTTTTATTCCAGAATCCAAGAGTGGCAGCAGCTATAATTCTACTACATCTCCCCTTTCGACAAAGGTGGGCCTTTTCCAAGGTGGTATCCCCAAACTACGACCCATGGGAGTAAAAGAGAGTTCAGGTGATGTTTTTAAAAATACCTTTTTTTAACAGTTTTGAAACATGTTTTGACTTCCCTTGCTGTGCCCTATATTTGAACCTTTATTCCTTTTACTTTTATTCCTTTTATTGGAAATAATAAAGTTTAGGCATTTAAAATCTGCTAATCATCTGCAATTAGGAATAATATTTATCACTAGATATAATCTCTGTTCAAGCAGATCTGTAAGTCTTATTAAATTGGACGGTCATTTTTACCTATGAGCTTTGCCCCTTTAAGAATTAAAGTAACTTTTTCACAGCAGAGCTATCTGTATAGGCTTTGATCCATTTAGCTGATTTTATATATCACTTTTTATTTTATTTTTCCAGACAACTCCTCTGGGAAGGTACTACATCAGGGTCCTGGGGGTAGATCAGCTGCACCCCGGCCTCCCGTGTGTGCTATCAGCACCCGACCCCAAGATGACACTGAAAATAGCCGAGCTTCTCCCCCAGAGCTTCCACGCATGCAGAGACCTTCATTGCCAGATCTTTCACGGCCAAACAGTGCTAGTGGCACTGGTATGAAGCACAGCTCTTCAGCTCCCCCACCACCACCTCCTGGACGGCGAGCCAATGCTCCTCTTGCTCCACATTCTATGCATAATAGCAAAGCACCTTCCTACAACCGTGAGAAGCCATTGCCACCAACTCCAGGTCAAAGGCTTCCAGGAAATCGTGATGGACCACCAGCTCCTCCTCCCATCAAGCCACCCCCATCCCCAATAAATATCCGGTCAGGACCAAGCAGTCAGAACCAATCCTTGGTACCCCCTCCCCCACCTTACCGACAGCCTCCTGGTGTCCCTAATGGCCCTGCCAGCCCTATTAATGAATCTGCTCCTGAGCTTCCCCAGAGACACAATTCCTTACATAGAAAGGCACCTGGTCCAGGGAGGGGTATGGCACCTCCCCCTCCTCCTTCAGCATCTCCTTCCTTACAAAATAGTCGCCCCCCACCTCCTGCCCGTGATCCACCAAGCCGAGGTGCAGGTAAGAGATTTTGTACAGTGCCGTTCAACTTAAAAATACCGTACTTTTTGGACTATAAGATGCACTTCACCCACCCACCCCAAAAGTGGGTGGAAATGTCTGTGTATTTTATAGAGCAATGTTGCCAAAGCCCCACCCACCCACCAGCCCCGCCTTAAGCCTCTGCCTCCAGCAATTTGCCTCCTTGCAGCAAACAACAAACAGCAAACAGCTTGGTCAGCTTCAGCACAGCCTGATTTAGCATAAGCAGCTGATTGGCGGTTGGATCGGCCTCCCAGAATACCAACGATCAACTGTTCCAGGCTGCGGGGATCGCCTCCGCAAACCCCATTTTTGGCCTCCACGCATCCCGTTTTCGGCCCTTTCCAGGTGGCGGTGATCCCCGCCACCTATCACTGCCGAACGGAGCGCATGGAGGCCGAAAATGGGGCACACAGAGGCTGCGGTGATCCCTGCAGCCTGGAACGGCTGCTTGTCAATATTCCGGGAGGCCAATCCAACCACATATCAGCTGCTTGTGCTAAATCAGGCTGTGCTGAAGCTGACCAAGCTGTTTGCTGCAAGGAGACAAATTGCTGGGATGCAGAGGCAGATTTTTTTTTCTTGTTTTCCTCCCCAAAAGCTAGGTGCATCTTATAGTCCTGAGTGTCTTATAGTCAGAAAAATACGGTAGGTTGTGGAATTGATAACAGTCAACATCTACTGTCTGAAAACAGAAGTGTTAGCACTCAAAAATGTTTGAAAGCTACTGTATATCTTCTAATTTGGATATATAGAGGTAAATTTACAGAAGATGCTAATTGCCCTGGTTTCACAGACATGGCCATTGGCAAAGAAGTTCCCTGTAGAAGAAAAATAATGTTTATGTTATGGAATAAGGATTATAACTAGAAAATATCTCCAAATGACTTTGGACATTTGAATCTATATAGCAACGTTTAATGGCACGTTTAGGAATTTGGGCTCTAGCTGATCACAAAATTATTGATTTGATATTTCTGAAAAAAATCCTATTTGGAGTGCTAAAATTTGATGACATCAGTGTGGGCCATGAGTTAGGAAATTCTTTGTCCAACCACAAAGTCATTATGAATACTTAGACTAGCCACAGTTCTCTCATTGTCAGGCTCTTCATCTTCAGTATTGGTCTAAATTTGGTCCCTCAGGGAGACAGTAAGAATTTTAGAGATGAATACTTGAATACTTGATAGTAATATCATAAATGCTTACTTGATGCTTTAACTGGACAATATCAATGATTGAATAGAGAGTTTATCCATGAAGGATGCTGCTTTCCTTGAAAAATTTTGAAAAGTTACATTTTAGGGAGGTGGGGCAGTTTTTTCACCAAGTCTTTTTGAACTAGGATTGGATATTTCATTTTGTGAGTATAGTGTTCATTGCAAGTCTCCCAAAATAGGGAATCCATTATGAGGCAGGTCATCAGTCTGATTACGTTAAAACAGAAGCAACTTTTAATTTTACAAAAGCTTAGATCCAGCAGGAGCAATATTACTGAAATATTCCCAAATGTTATATGACTGGTTTAGAAACAATCTGAGCCACTAAGTGTCAGATATTGTACGTTTCTTTACATGGTGCAAACTTTAGTTTAAAATAGAATAGATCATATGATTAATTAGTTTTGTGTCCTAATCATGCTTCATTTCTGAAATGAGAGAGTTCAGAAATGTGCAGTTGAAAATGTTTTAGAAATAAATTACATAAACATTTGGTGATTGTAAAGAGCAATCAGCTGATTCCAGGAAAAGACACAGCTGCTTTAAAGGATGTTTGAGTGGTGATATATTCATGCTATGTATTTATCTTATTTATTTCTAAAATGCTATACCTCCTACTCATAGCACTCACCAAATCTGTAAACTTAATCTGTCAGGATTAAAATCAAATGTCTGAGTTGCCTCAGTATTGTGGATACAAACTTCTATAGCACATACAGAGCAAGGCAGAACTTTTTAATGGCGTGCATGGTGAATGATGGAAAATATGAATGGAAAATGAATAGCCAGTTTAGTTGTACACATCATATATTTTTGGCTACCAAAAATTTATTTTCAGAATTGGGCTGCCTGTGCTATATTTAGGTACAGTAGTTTGTGTATCACATTAAGCAATGATTTGGCTTGTTTGATTTCAGTTGTAAACTCAACCAATGTTTATGAACCATATCTCTTCATAATATATCTTAAATGTTTGTATCTGGCCTTTGTAGCTTACTCAATAAATATGGCTAAAATAACTATGATTTTGCAGTTTAGTCTATGTCTTTGTTGACTTGGAGAATTTCTGTTTAGCTCCACCACCACCACCACCCATGATACGAAATGGTGGAAGAGATGCACCTCCACCACCTCCACCCTACAGAACACATGGGTCTTCAGATCCCATGAACCGTGGAAAACCACCCCCTCCTCCTACCAGAACACCAGTTGGACCACCCCCTCCTCCCCCACCAATGAGAAATGGACATCGGGACTCTATCTCTACAGTTAGGTCTTATTTGGGTGAGTAAAAAGATTTATTTATCAGGACTTATTGTTGTCCTGATAGGATTCTTTGACATTTAAGTTGAATAGGGAAATGTTCAAGATTCTAGACTACCCAGAAGGGAATAGCTGTTACTAATCTTCTTTGTTTAATTCTGAAGACTATAAAAATATTTAGATTAGTCGGGAGAATTTTTTCTTCTTCTTTTTTTTTTTAATTTTTATTTTATTTTAAACAAACATACATAAAAACATAAAACCATCTTCAATTACACACAGTGTGTCGGTTGGTTACAAGTCTTTTGTGCATCTTCCCCATATTCATAGTTTACTGTTTACCTAAATTCTTATATTATCGATCTAATATATATCAATATATTATTGTCCTCATTTATCATTTGTAGCTATTCTTCCCTCATTTTGTACAAAATATTCTAAGATTTGAGTTAATTTATATTATAACATTCATTTTATCACTAAATCGATCCAATAATACTACATCTTTATGTTATATTTTATATAATTCTACAATTCTTGTATTATAAAAATCTCTATCTTCTTTCATTTCCATATTTTTTTATCTAACCATTGATAAAGTAAGTCCCATATCTTATAATATTGTTTATCTTGTTCTCTAATTTCAAATGTCAATTTGCTCATTTCAGCACATTCCATTATTTGCTTAATAACTTCATCTTGCGTTGGTATTTTCTCATTTTTCCAATTTTTAGCAAACACAATTCTAGCCGCTGTTAATACATTCACAATCAGATATCTCAATTCTCTATTATATATTTCAGGTACAATCCCCAATAAAAAAATCTCTGTTTTAAAGTCTATGTATTTTTTTGTCATTTTTTCCAACCATGTGTGGATTTTAGTCCAATATCTTTTGGCTTCTGCACATGTCCACCACATATGGTAATATGAACCCAGTATCTGATGACATTTCCAACATTTTTCAGATTTATTCTTGAACATTCTGGCTATTCTCGTCGGGGGTAAATGCCACCTGTAAAACATCTTATACAAATTTTCTTTATATGCAGTTGACATTGTCATTTTATAATTTTGCGACCACAATTTTTGCCATTTCTCTAAATCAATCCCATGTCCAAAATTTTTCCCCCAAGCAATCATTGTTTCTTTAACTTGTTCTTCTTCCAATTTAACCTCTAATAAATATCCATATAGTTTTTTAATTACGTTTTCATCAGTACCTGTTAAAATTTTATCTAAATTAGTCAAATTATCATAAAAACCTTCTGTCTTAAAATCTTTATCGTATCTAGAATGTATTTGCAAATAAGAAAACCAGTTCATCTTTATATCTTGTTCTTCTAATTCTTGCATAGATTTAAGTTCACCCTTTTCATTCAATAATTCACTATATCTAACAATTTGTTCCTTTCTAAATGTTATTGAATATGAGAATGCTTCAATAGTTGATAACCAGACTGGAATTTTTAAATAATGTTGTCTTTTAATCTTCTCCCAGCAAGGCCTCTCGTATAAAATGTCTTCTAAAATGCCCCTATGTTTTTGTTCCCTTATATTATAAAAACGCGTGCCAGCCCAACAACAAATCATGTCCTTCTAGAGTCAATAATCTAGTATTTCTTAACATTATCCATTCCTTGATCCACTTCAAATTTGTCGCTTGATAGTATAATTTCCAATTAGGCAAGCAAAATCCTTCTCTTATTCTAGTATCTTGCAGCAATTTTAATTTTATCCTCGCTTTTTTTCCCTGCCAAATATATTTCAATACTATTTTATCTAAATCTTCAAAATAATCTTTCCCCAACCTAATTGGAATTGCCTGGAACAAGTATAGAATTCTAGGTAGTATATTCATCTTAATCGTGGATATTCTCCCTATTAATGATAGTTGTAAATTTTCCCACTTTGTCAAGTCTGCCACTATTTGTTGTTTGAGTTTGTTGTTTGAGTTTATTATAATTATTCTCTTTGAGTGTACTACATCTTGCTGTCAAATATGTCCCCAAATACTTAACCTTATTTGTGACCTGCAGCTTCAATACTTCCGCCAGTTCTTCTTTTTGTTTTGTTAACATGTTTTTTGTCAAAATCTTCATTCTGCCTTTATTTTCAAACCTGCTATTTTTCCATATTATCCTATCTTGTCCATCAGTTTAATTGCTGTTTCTAATGGGTCTTCCAGAATAAAAACCAGGTCATCTGCAAATGCTTGCAATTTGTATTCTTCCTTTTGAATTTTCATTCCTTTTATATCTTTTTCTTTTCTAATATTTCTGTTTAGCACTTCTAATGTTAACACAAACAACAGAGGTGATAGTGGACAACCTTGTCTTGTTCCTTTTTTTATTTCAATAGACTCTCTCAATTCTCTGTTTATCATTACTTTTCCTGTTTGTTTGTGATATATGGCTTCTATGGCTTGAATAAATTTTCTACCAAAGCCCATCTGCTCCAGCTGTCATAACATAAATTGCCAACTCACATTATCAAAGGCTTTCTGTGCATCTAGAAATATCAAAGCCATTTGTTTTTCAGGATGTGCCTCATAATATTCCAAAGTGTCCAGAATTATCCTCATATTATCTTTAATCTGTCTTTTTGGCAGAAATCCATTTTGATCAGAATGTATGAAATTATTTAGATATCTTTTAAGTCTTTCTGCCAATATTGAAGCGAAGATTTTATTGTCTGAATTTAGCAGGGATATAGGCCCATAATTCTTGATTTGTTGTGGATCAGTATCCTCCTTTGGAATAAGTGTAATATATGCTTCTGGCCATGACTTGGGTAGTTTCATCTTTGACATGACTTCATTCATAACTTCTAACAATGGGAGATTCAATGATTCCGGTAATGTCTTGTAGTATTCCACTGGTAGTCCACCCGGTCCATCCGGGCCTGGTGCCTTCCCATTCTTTTGTTTTTTAAGTGCTTCAGTTAATTCCATCATCGTTATATTCCTTCTAACATCATTTCTGTGTCTTTAAAAATCTGGGGTAGATTCGCTTTCTGCAGGTATTGTTTAACACTTTCCTCCTCAATATTCTCTTGCTCATACAGTTTTCTATAATAATCTTGTATAATTTTTTTCTTCTCTTTATTCCCATATCTAGTTTGCCCTTGATCATCAACTAGTTGTATTTTTTTTCTTGATTCTCTCTCTTTTTTCATTTTGTATGCTAACCATCTACCTGGTTTATTTGCGTCTTCAAAATAGTTCTGTTTGGCACTTTTTTTTGCTAAATCCTCTTTTTCTATTAATCCCATTTTATGTTTAATTGTGTCCATTTTTATTTTAGTGTCCTTTATTTGTAGAAATTTCTGTAATTCTTTTTCGAGTTTCTTGTGTTCATCCTCTAATGTTTTATAAGCTTGTCTTTTCTTAGTATTTCTTTTCCTTGCATAGTCTATTATCAAACTTCTAGCATAGGCCTTCATTGTATCCCAAAGATTTTGTATTGATATGTCCTCTTTTCTATTTTCTTTTTTAAAAAAAGCCAATTCTTTCTCTATTTTCTGTACAAATTCCTTTTCTTTTAGTACTGTATTATTTAATGTCCAACTAGATCTTCTCCTTTGTCCTTTCCATTTCATTGTCATTGGGTTATGATCTTGCAAAAACTTATCTTAAGGACGGGTCTTGGAACCCCGAGAGGTGGCACAAGGATTTTAAGGGTTTTAAGGGTTTTAAAGGATATAGATTAAGAGGTTTTCTAACAAAATTTTTAGCGAAAATTTTAAGGGGACCCGGGTAGGCAAGTAGGGTGGGTTTGGGGGGTAACCCACAGGGGTCGGGGGGAGCTGGGGGGGCTAGTTCTCATATTGGGGAGGGCGTTGCCATCGACATCGTGGGTGGGAGGGGCAGATATGGTGGGAGCAGGGCGCCATATCGTGTTAGGGGAGGACGCACTCGCTATCTGCGAGCGTTTGCGTGCTCCGGCCCTCAATGCTCGTCTCGCACCCCGGGTTGTTCAGATCCTCAGGCCCTGGGCCTTTGGTTGATGTTGTACAATGCCACGTCTGTGGTAAATAAAGCCCCCCTCATTTGTGATCTGGTTCATGAGGGGGTGTCCTGGACCTGGTAGGTATTACGGAGACCTGGTTGGGCCAGGAGGGGGGGTCCCCCTCGTTGAGATATGCCCTCCAGGTTTCTATGCATTCCATCAACCGAGGTCCCAGGGGAGGTGTCGGGGGGTGGCGGTTCTAGTAAAGGAAGGTCTCGCCCCAAGGGAGGCCACTGTACCTCAGATAGCCGGATGTGAGTTCCTCCTTGTGAAGTGGGGACAAGGGAGGTAGATGGGCTTGCTGATTACGTACCTGGCTCCCTTCCACGTGTCGGCGGCCCTGCCCGAGCTCCTCAACGTGATTGCCGAGGTGGCGGTGGAGATCCCCAGGCTTATGGTCATGGGGGACTTTAACCTGCCGTCTGTCGGCGAAGCGTCTGAGGCGGCTCGGGAGTTCATGGCTTCCATGACGGCCATGGACCTGACCCAATTAATTTATGGACCCACACACACGGGAGGAGACACTCTGGATCTGATTTTTGTCTCTGGGCAGTGGATGAACTCGAGATAGAGGAGATAGTGATTGAGCCCTTGTCATGGTCAGATCATTCCCTTCTTAGGCTTGACTTTCTAACCGCCACACCCCGCCGCAGGGAGGCGGAACAGACCAGATGGTTCCGCCCCAGGCGCCTGATGGATCCTGATAGGTTCCAGATGGAGCTTGGGCCATTTCCTGAGGCTCTGACTCATGGCTCGGCTGAGGAGCTGGTGGCCGCCTGGGATAGGGCGGCCGCTGACGCTTTGGAGAGTTGTGCCTGTGCGGCCTCTGACCTGTCGCCGAGTCTACCTGGCTCCTTGGTTCTCCGAGGAGCTGAGGGAGATGAAGCGCCAGAAAAGACGCCTAGAGAGCAGTTGGAGATCTAGTCGCTCCAAATCCGACCTAACACTGGTAAGATCTCATATTAAGACTTACCTAGTGGCGATAAAAGCGGCAAAACGTAACTATTTTTC